ATGGACGGATGCATGGGGACTGGTGCCTTCACCTCCCTCACAACAGAGGGAGCTGGCCTGATAGACGGCTATAACAGGATGCTGGAGGAAGCCCTGGAGACAACAACTCTCTCCCTGGGGGTGGACCACACATCAGTATGAAGCTTTCCGTGTCTGGGGAACCAGCAGTTAGCGTAATGGCTATGTCACTGGACTCCCACGTAGTCGACCGTGGTTCACGTCCCAGACCCAGTGGCATAGAACTCACGCCGGGCGCGTGTGCGTGCGTGCCCAAGATCCCGAGAGGAGAATGGAGGAGAAGGGATTGCGGCGTGACCATCCCCCCTGGGGGGGGTGATTTCTCACTTTCTGTCTCTATGTCTCTGACTGTCTGGCGAGCGCACACGCCCTATAGCGAAAACCTCTCCAAAAAAAAGAAAAAAGCTTTCCGTGTCCGGAATGAGAGGCCTGACGAGCTAGCCCAGCCCTAGCCACTCCCATGTGGCTGCATGTTTATACCCAGGAAGCCACACTGCCATTGCTGCTGGGGGAGAGAGGAACTTGCTGTTGCCAGACCCTCGAGACATAGAACCATGGGTTACTAACCCACACTGGTCCTGGGGTGTTCAGCCTGAACCCCATTGGTGCTCTCTCCAGCCATATTGGAGGAAGGACTAACCCACAACCTTGACATCTGCCCCCAAATTATGGGCAAATGGACCAACACTACAAAATGCCAGAACCCTGGCTCAGACCTTGTTGCTAAGGGCACATTGAGAATCACCATGTGGCAGTTTAGGAACCCTCTTCTTTTCTTTTTTTTTTGGAGAGGTTTTTGCTATAAGGTGCATGTACTCACCAGAAGGACAGAGAGAGACAGAGAGAGAGAAAGCAAGAAGTCATCCCCCAGGGGGGAGGGCCAGGTCACAATCCCTTCTCCTCCATTCTCCTCTTGGGATGTTGGGCACACACACACACGCGCCCAGCATGAGTTTAAGCCACTGGGTCCAAGACTTGAACCGCGGTCGACTACATGGGAGTCCAGCAACATAGCCATTTTGCCAACTGCTGGTCCCCAGGAGTCCTCTTGCTTTCTATGGAGTGGGTCGGAGGGCCCCTGGGCCTGATAGGGCATGGTATCTCTGACCTGGAGGGTTTTCCCCAAGTGTTACTTCATTGTCTGAAGGTAGAAATGTTGCCTACATACTGCCTGACAATAGAGATTTTTTTTTTACTTTACTCCTGTCACCAAAATATCTGTCTTACCCTTAAACTTAGGCTCAGGGAATATGTTCCTACAATGGGCTGATATCCTCATTCAAATACACAGGAGTCTGCCTGCTGGGTGTGCCCTGGGTTCCTGTTGTCAGCAGCGTCTGGAATGCCATAGAGGATGTACCTCGCCAATCGCTCTGAACGGGCCTTCTTGGCTGACTAGAAAACTACTGGGGATGCTCACCATGAACTGATGAGTCTGGCTGAGACCAAAAAGCATGCCTTTTAACTACTGCAGGAGCAGGTCAAGACTGCACCTGTCCTAGGGTATGCAGTGTGGGATGGCTCAGGATGGTTAATGGCCATCCAGATAGAGATCAGAGAACATGCAACTCATTGTTATGAACACCTAAATGGCACCTGCACCGAGATCCCTCAGGATGTGGGATGGACGCCTTTAGTTATAGTTTGCGTATCCAAACTATGACTACGGGTATGGCAGAACCCCAACCTAACTGCTGGAGCACATTCCGTGCTTGTGGGCCTGTGGTGCCCATGGATGGCCCTACTTACCATGTAACCGGACAGGTCAATGTACCTGGGGGTAGCCTCACATAGCAGACCCTCTAACAGGGTCCTGTTTTCTGACAGACAACGGGTTAAATAAACCCCCTGGTGGTTCTGCCCATTGTCAATATTTTCTTCACAAACTGGTAACATTTTTGTAGAAGAGGCTATAGAAGCTCTTGCTAATCTTATACTAATGCTCTTAATCATCCAGATATTCCATCTCCCTGTTGAATGATGGTTACACCAACGGGTAAAGTAGTGTGGCAAAAGAGAACGGCTTAGGACACGCGTACTGACGCTTAGGGTGGCACCTGGGCTATCTCGAATACTGAATGTTGTGTCTACATCCCTGAAAGGTCTGCAGAACTTCAGGCCTCGGGTACTGAAATCAACCACATCTCTAAAACAGCTGGAGGCCCCTTCTCTACCTGGTTTGGTTCCCTTAGCTCCTTCTGGAAGAAATGCTTCATTGGAATCAATGTAGGAATCCTTTTACTGTTGCTTGGAAATATTCGTTGTCCTTGTGTGTGTGAGACATGAATGCAATGTTTGACTCCAACAGCCACTCCGGGAACGTGGCAGGAGACTAACGACGCACGAGCCCTGAGAGGGTGGGTGAAGAGTCAGTGCCGGGGCAGAGTGCGGTGGGCTCCACACATCCAGCTCTCTCTGCCCTGCTTCTTCGAGATCCAGCTGCTGGTCTGGTCAGACCACCTTGTGACCACATCTTGTGACCACTCTCACTTCACAGAATTAGCTCGGGGCCGGGCTGTTCAGGAGGTATGTGCACCTTCCCATGTGAACATCACAAGGTCAGGGGCCCTATAGTAACGTACAAGCTCTGGTGACTCTGCTAATCGATGACCTGACCTCTTATTATAACCTTGAACAATCGATGTAGAACCCCGACCCCTGCCTGGGACACGAAGTCTGTGCTGACCTGATAGGTGATGTAGGTACTCTAGTCTTCACATGTGTAAGCTAGGCCCATACTCCCTGAGGGTAGTCCATTCTCCGCCTGTCCTGGTGACGTAAGTAAGCAAACGCATGCCTCCCCTGGCTGGATGTTCTGGTACATTCTTTGGAAGCAGTAAATAGGGGCAAGCCCTCTCAGATTTGGGGCTCCCCCAGTCCAAGTCTAGTAGTACTGTCAATGGACTGTAAACTATCCCCATGCCTGCAGTTTGACATTTCTTTATTCATTTACATACAAAGTGTACTAGGAATATTTTTGCTTTACTGAAACAAATCTTTGAAAGGGCAGAGAAAATACAAAATCATCTGCAGATACAAGAATCCTTGAACTGCTAATTTCACTTGACTAATGATCTAGTTCTAGTATTCTTCTACTTTAATGATGGGTTTCAAATTCAAACCTGCTTTCAGCCTATGACTTTGATATGTAAGAGCTGCTGGTGGAAATACCGACTTTGTAGCTTAGTCTCTCTTTCATACTAGCACTTATTTCAAGTTTGCTATGGTCACCCTGGAAATACTCTCCATTGCTGGGAAGTTGCAGGTCATGACCATTCATTCATTTAACAATTACTTTTCTGGGACCAGCAGTTAGCGTAATGGCTATGTCACTGGACTCCCATGTAGTCGACTGTGGTTCGAGTCCCGGACCCGGTGGCTTAAACTCACGCCGGGCACGTGTGCATGCATGCCCAAGATCCCAAGAGGAGAATGGAAGAGAAGGGATTGCGGCATGGCCTTCCCCCCTGGGGGGTGATTTCTTGCTTTCTGTCTCTCTGTCGAGCACACAAGCCCTATAGCAAAAACCTTTCAAAAAAAAAAAAAAAAAAAAAAAAAAAAAAAAAAAAAAAAAAAAAATCATTTTCAAACCTCTGCTCTGTGCCAGCACTGGGACGTAGTTATTACTTTCATGTGATCTGCTTTAATGCTGTTTTAGATCTTCCAAAAAAGCCATGTTACTTTAAATCAAACCATCCAGTCAAGACAACTTTAGTTTTTCTAGCTTGATTCAGGGGCTGAACCTGAGATGCAGAACCATAGCTTAATGCCCAGGCTCCCAATAAGTGACACATTTTAGCAAATGTCAGCGAGGCGTCATGTGTAAACACAGCGTAGCTATGGCCAAGCATCCTGATTGTAGAACCAGGAAGACCTGGTGGGGAATTTGGGCTCTGCCATTGACTGGCGATGTTATCTAGGACAATTTGCTGAACTTTTCTGAGCCTCGGTGTGCTCATTTGTCAAAATGGGAACTAGCAACATATATCTCTAACGTCACAGTGAGGATTAGGTGAGAGGATGCATGCAAGGCACAGAGATCAAAACCGACATTTACTAACTTCTTAAGAAATTAGCCACCTACAGGAGAAAAAGTGAATCGACTATTAAAAAGAGGAATGGCACTGCCTGTGATGATGGCAGCCGTATTTACTCCAGTCAAAGGAATTCCTTCTTTGGCTGAATTACCTAAAATGCACAGAACAAACAGAGCCTTTGATTGGCTTTTTAACACCTCATATTATGGTTAACAGAGTGTCAGGGGACCAGCAGATGGCGTGGTGGTTAGGGCACTGGATTCCCACATAGCTGACCACAGCTTGATTCCCAGACCTGGCGGCTTGCTTTCTCATTTTCCCTCTCTGTCTCTGTCTGTGTCTCTCTGGTCAAATTACAAAATAGTAATAATAATAAATAAAATAATTCTTTTTAAAAAAGTATCAAAAAAGTTTCAAGATTCAGTTGTTTATAATATTTTCAACACATATTAATCTATCCCAAAGGTTAAAATGAAATATATTGGGTTGTTGGAAAAGTCATGACACATTTTTGCATAGAAAAACATACCAAAATATATCATGAGTTTTCTAATGACCCAATACTTTAAAATATATTAATAAATGCCAAGTTCCTGTAGGATTTGGAGGTCACACTCTCCAGTGACTGCAGCAGAATATTACTGTAGATGAAAAAAAATGCAGAAAATTTGTATTAAGAACAGAACAAATCCTAAGTATTTATTTAGCTAAATGCCAGAATTACTTGTTTCATTCTCTGAAAAGTATGATACACACAAAATTCTAGTGAATTCAAAGCCCCTGATAGTTGGGTTCTTAAGGTTTTCTGTCTCACGATAGCTATAATTTTGCTTATTCACTGTACAGATCATAAATTTATCAGATCCCAAAATTGATCATCCAAATAAAATAGAGTCTCTAGTGAATTGAGTAACTTCATATGATATTTCCAAGAATTTTACTCACAATGGCTACAGGGTCATTACTGCGGGTTGCAGCCAAGCTGAACTTCTTTACATGTGTGTTGGTCTCCAGAGCTTTTGCAAATTCCTTCAGGGTTGGAATTGGAATGTTCTAAGACAAAAGATAGAGTTGATGAGCCATTCTAGATACACCCACCACAAGTCAAGCCCCCACAACCTTAAATATCATACATATGTAGGTGGCTAATTACATGATGTTCCCTCTTAAAGAAGTTTCTTATACATCCTCCATCAACCAAGCTAGCCTGAGGTAATAACACCACTCCATGTTCAATAAGGGAATCTAACACAATGGTACATTCTGGTATCACTCCCCCCCCCATGAAGAAATTATTCATACACTATGCATATATTTTCCCTTTTTTCTCTATTCTAGCTAGATTGGTCTATTTGCCACTGTTTTTTGTTTGCTTTTGTTTTCATTTTTGCTCAAAGCTGCATGTACTTTCCAGAGACAGACAGGGAAAGTGAGAAAGCACCCTTAAGGGGGATGATCACACCACAATCCCTTCTCCTCCATTTTCCTCTCAGGATTTTGGGCACACGTGCACATGCACCTGGCAAGTTTTTCAAGCCATCTGATCTTGAACTTGAATCACACTATTGGCCATGTGAGATTTAGCTGCCTTAACCACCACCAGCTGGCCCGCTATTCTTTAAATATACCACGGTCTCTCTCGCTCTCTGCTATGCCTTTAGATATGCTTTTTTCTTCACCAAGAAATTTGTCATTTTCTCTGATAAATTCTAACTTTTCTTTTAATACCCAGCTGAAATATCTCCTTTGTTTATTGGTTCTCTTGGGCAGCATTAAAAATTTCCTTCCTTGCAATTCCATAACATTTTCATGCTTATTGTATGTAATTATGTGTTATGTGTCTTTTTCCCTAATAAAGTTTTTCAGAATTAAAAACTAAATTCATCCTTTTTTTTTTTTTTTGAGAGGTTTTCGCTATAGGGCTCATGCGTTCGCCAGACAGACAGAGACAGAAAGCGAGAAATCACCCCCCCAGGGAGGATGGCCACGCCGCAATCCCTTCTCCTCCATTCTCCTCTTGAGATCTTGGGCACGCATGCACATGCGCCCAGCGTGAGTTTTAAGCCACCAGGTCTGGGACGCAAACCACGATCAACTATGTGGGAGTCCAGCGACATAGCCATTATGCTAACTGCTGGTTCCCAAAACTAAATTCATCTTTGTACTCTCCCTTCTTTGCACAATAATGACCACTAGGGAAGGAGACATCAGACACAGCTACAAGTGGGCACAAGTCCCTGTGACCTTAGCAACTTAACCTCTTTAATCCTCACTAAGGATTAGATAATAAATCTCAAATATTTAGTAAAAGATGTGACACATAGTGAGTACTCAATAAAAGAATGAACAAAATAGAATAAAAGAATGACTGTAGGGACCAGCAGTTAGTGCAATGGCTATGTCGCTGGACTCTCATGTAGTCAACTGCGGTTCGAGTCCTGGACCCAGCAGCTTAAACTCATGCTGGGTGCATGTGCGTGCGTGCCCAAGATCCCAAGAGGAGAATGGAGGAGAAGGGATTGTGGCGTGGCCATCCCCCTGAGGAGTGATTTCTCCCTTTCTGTCTCTCTGTCTCTCTCTGTCTTTCTGGTCAGCACACGTGCCATATAGCAAAAACCTCTCCAAAAAAAGAAAAAAAAAAAAAAAGAATGAATGTATACAAATGCTCAAAACATGGGGCCAGCAGGTGGCATAACGGTTAAAGCGCTGGACACTCCCCACATGGCCAACCACAGTTCAAGTCCTGGACCTAGTGGTTTGCTTTCTTATTCTCTCTCCGCTATGTTGCTCTCTGGTCAAATTAAAATAAATGAATTAATAAATAAAATAAAATAAACAAATAATTCATGTTTTAGAAATAATTATTTTATTTAACTTTATTTATTTTTTAAAAATTTGACCAGGGAAGGACAGAGCGAGCGAGTGAGTGAGCGAGAAAGAGAGAGAGTCAGAAAGCAAGCTGCCAGCTCCAGAACTCAAACTGTGGTCAGCCATGTGGGAGTCCAGCATCATTAACCACCACACCACCTGCTGGCCCCATAATTCATTCTTTTTGAAAGAAAAAAATAATAAAAATAATGATCAAAACAGGCCACAGGACATGTTTACACATGCACACGCATGCTCTGAGTGACATGATTTATCACTAGACAGAATACAGTGGAAGTGACAATGTGTAACTTTAGAGACCAGATCACAAAACATACTGTGGCTTCCTGCTTGTTTTATCGGTCTCTCTGGGAGCACCCGCTCTGGGAGAAACCAGCTGTCAGGATGCAGACATTCATGAGCGCCCTATGGAGCGGCTCATGTGGTGAGAAATTAAGGTCTCTCATAACAGCCAGATGAGTGCACCATCCTGAGAGTAAATCCTTCCGGCCCAGCTAAGCCTGATATTGAGCCCTGACTGACAGCTTCACTCCAGCCTCACTGGAGACCCTGAGCCACAACCCCCAGCTAAGCCTCTCTCAGATTGCTGGCAGCCAGAAACTGTGTAAAGTAATAAATATACACGTGGGCTAGATGATGGCACGGTGATAACACGACTGATCCGTATGGGACGAGTTCTGAGTTCATGTCCTCCCGGGGTGTGCCAGCATCTGTATGAGTCTG